AAAATGTAGGTTTTGGGGGGGGGGTACCATATATATATATATGCACACTATTATATTATAGTAGTTTCCATGTTCTTTTCCATTATCCGCGAATCTTGGAGCAGGACCATCTTCTCGTTGCCCTGGGTCTCCTCCAGTTTGGCCGCCTTGGTCAGAGGCACGCCAGACCGGCTACAGGTGCAGAGCGGTTTAGGGTTTAGGGGGTTTAGGGTTTAGAGGGTTTATGGTTTAGGGAGTCTAGTAGGGTTTGCGGAGCTTAGGGTTTACGGCTTCTACACGGGGTATCCGGAAAAAGAGCCACAATTCTGACAACCTTCGGTCTGCTAAAACAACTCGCAAACAAGTCGGGGAAAGTTATACCCTGAACCCTACGTAGTGAAAAAAGTGAGGAATCACACGGATAATGAGGATAACATGAAACGGAGCCTGGTATTATACAGAGTCTGGTAGAAGGAATTGCAGTGTAGGGTCGGAATAGGGTTTTGCGGGGCCTGCTGTACGAATTACGTCAGGACTACAAAGGCAGTATGTTGGTAATTTGAGCCACGGAACGGTACGGGTCCCGCGTCAGGGCAATTTGTTTTTCTCTTTCGCTAGGAAATACCCGAACCCTCAAAACAGAAGCTCTGCCCTAAATCCTTGAGAGGGAGCTCAAGAAGGGATGATGGGGAGCTGAGAACGCCAGCTGCTGAAGGTGGAAAGTCGATAATGTTTTGAACAACAACAGAAGAACCGCACTGCTTACGTGTACACCGCTTTTTAAAGAACACATGAATTACCCCTCTCTCTCTCTCTCTCTCTGTGTATGCTCTATACTCTCTCTGTATGCTTTATACACTCCCAGTTGTTGCTTACCTAAATTTGCCGATCCCAAGCAAGCAAACAACCAAGGCTGGCGCTGTCACCCAGATCACCGGGCTTGTCCTTGGCGAAGGCTGGAGGTTGCAAAGTTGGGACTCCCATGCATGTTGTTTGTTACTGGGTTGCAGTTACTACCATTGTAAGGCAACCATACTACTTACAACTTGTCCACATCATGGTAGCTTCAAACAAGACCCTTAACAGCAGCTCCTGTATAGAATGCGGGTCGTAACTTTCAGCATGAGAGTGTCATTCCCTCGGGCGTGAATGTGCTGGCAGATAAGTCAACCTTGCATCTTGTAAGCGACTTTTCGTTTTTAGTTTGATCACTCATGATGATTTCTACCAAGCGAGAGAAGCGTCCACTTCGCAGCCCGCATTGCCACGGAGAGGTCGTAATACTGACTTTCATGCGGTTCAAACGGCTAACATGCGCCTAGACTCCTGGGCACCGAAAATTGTCAGGCGTTTGCACAAGAAATTACGCAGGACTCTGGGAACAGAAGTTGCCATATGCTGGCGACTCTGTCAGCTGCAAGCCATAGGAGATGACCATTAAGGCCATTTTGCCCGAAGCACTTGACTGCCCAAAGCTACGGTATTTATTCCGAAGCAGGGCGGCTAGAAAAAAGGGCCAAATTCTTCTACCTAGACACTCCCTCTTCCTTGTGTATAACCTGAATACCCACTATTAGGGACCATAAATGACAACATACCCTCTTTTGAGAGTACAAGGAGGTCCCTGGCATAAACACCCTACGAACCTGCATCACTCGGCTTCCAGCGGGATGTGCTTCCTCGCCTCGTTCAGCACCTTCTGGGCATCCTGTCGATCAGCTGCTTTCGAAATTCGAGTTTCTCCGCCGCTGGCCCCACATGAGTAGCTTTTTTTTTGGTGGTTAAACCCAGTAAGATTACATTCCTTATAGAAAATACTGTACCCCAAAAGCAGGATAGAATCTTACTCTATAATGGGTATCATAGTATCCCCAAATACAATACTACTCACATGTAGGTTGCACTCCTACAAGAGCGAAATATGGCTGCCAAATACTTTTGGTGACTACACATATGATTCTGTCTCAAAATAGGCAGACATATTCGGTTATACTTCGTGACCCTGGCACAACCCAGGTCTGATACCCTGGGTTGCTGCTAAGGAACTCAAATCAAGCTACCACATCATGGCTACACATCAGGTAATGTAACTTCATTTAGGTCTTCGTTTAAGTTTCTTGACAGCGACCTCAAACCCAAACGCTAAACCGCCATGATGGCAAAGCGTTAAAGTCAGCAGCAGTCACAACATGGCTACACATCAGATAATGAAGCCCCACAAGACCTATAAACCTAAACCCTAAGCCGTAAAATCTGAACCCTAAAGTCCCAAACCTTAAACCTTAAACCCTAAACCTTAAGCCCTAAACCCCAAACCCCCTTTAAGTTCCTTAACAACAAACCGATGATGGTACGGAGTTTCAGGCCTTGTAGGCGGAAAGCTTTGCCAAGGCCAGCCACATTTCCACCTCAATCCGTCCAGGGTTTAGAGTTTTGGTTTAGGGTTTAGGGGTTTAGGGTTTAGGGGTTTAGGGTTTAGGGGTTTAGGGTTTACGGGTTTAGAAGTTTAGGGGTTTGAGGTCTGGGGTTTAAGGTTTAGGGGTTTAAGACTTAAGGGTTTAGTAGGTTTTAGGGGTTTGAGGTTTAGGGTCTTCAAGGGAGTAACTGCTTTAGGTTAGGGGATGGGTTCAGGACTTAAGGTTTCAGAAGTTTAGGGGATAAGAAGGTTAAGGGTTGAAGATTGAAGGGTGAAAGTTTGTGGACCGGGTGTTTGGGGTCCACATGGAAGTTGGGCTCTTGCTATTTACCAAGGGCTTTCAATTGTTGAGAGATTGGGCAAGGATTTTAGGAATAGGGGATAACTTTGAAAAACATCTGCCGCGGGGGTTGTTGGTTAGACTTCTCCCGTTGGGGATATTAATGGATGCCTTTTCTGACATTGTTTGCTCAAAAATCAAGATCTGACAATCTGTGCTCACCGCCTTGATGGCCTCACATTACATGTGACTGGGCCTACAAATGCGACTCATCAACGCCGAATTAAGGCGACCTGGTGTATGTTCCCAATACTGGCCGAAGTACGTCCCTACATTACACTCCCTCTACCAAACGCTACATAGCCTTGCTGCTATGTCATTATGTCATTTTCGATTATCTGTTCGCTTTCATTCAGTATTGTATATTATCACTATAAAACGAGTATACCACCAAACACTTTTTCGAATCAGGCTGGCCCCTACACTATACACCTCCTGGTTTTTGAGCTCCGTTAAGCGCCGGGGCAACTCTCCTCTGGTATCACATATGTAGCCCTAAACCCTTCTCTGACTAAATAGGCCGCTAAGTACACGAAAATGCCTTGAAGGCCCCTTACATGCCCACTTTTCATTGGGTAGATTGGCATCCCCGCCATGCTGCCTAAGCACTGGAGGGTCTCCGAGTCTTGGCATTTTTCAGGATCAAGAGACGCGGGCAGACTTTAGGAGGACCCCCCACCCTGTAATAGTGGTATAATAGGAAGATAATAGGGCCCTACGATAATCCTTATTATCCCTTATAGCCACGATTACAGGGTGGAGGGTCCCCCTAAGGCAGACTTAAGAAGGGAGACGGGGAGAGTGGAAGATGAACAAAACTCAAAAAATGATGATCCCCTACCGAACCTTCATGAGTATTCTCTGGGCATGTCGATCCCGTAGAATCCATGAAGTCCTTGCAGGCCCCTCTATAGAAACCTGTGTGATTCTGATAAGATATGAGGGCCGCTCTCAAAATTGTGGGCTCCCTTTGGTTATGTTACAGCTACTATTTAAATAGGGGTACCGGAATGGGGCCTTAATACCCTAAACCGTAAACCTTAATGCCTAAATCCCAGACCCTGAACCCTCAACCTCTATTTGCGGAAATCCCCACAAGGCAGCTGGGCATCAGGCACTGTGTGGCACGCACTCGACAGCCCGGCTAAGCATAACGCGGGCTTCCGTCTCATCCTACAGGGTTACGTTTAGGGTTTAGGGTGTAGGGTTTAGGGCTTAGGGTTTAGGGTTTTAGGGCTAAGGGTCTAGTGTTGTGGGTTTAGGGGTGTCGGCCTTGGCTACTCAGAATGATTGTCCCTACCGAAGAATTTGTGAGGTGTTTCTTAAAATCAGAGCTGTGCAATCCCAAATAGGACCCGCCAGAACCTTGGTGCATGCCTCTGTAATTTCCTTGGGTCAACAGGGTAGCCCCCATGTTCGAGAAACTCCCTTTCACCGAAAAATTGCTGTTTAGGAACTTAGATTAAGTTACCATGGTACGGATACATGATACATGATAAGGTCTCGTTCTTATGGTGACTTGAGGTTAGTTCCTTAACAGCAACGCAGCGTCCTTGAATAGACTTTTGGCTTCAGCTGGCAACTAGTGGTTTACTGACCTTTGCAGGGCTGCAGTGCTGCAGAGAAGAATATTAGTAAGAAACCACCGTCCAATATACAAGAAATTACTGAGCACAGCGGCGGGACGAAGGTGCGAACTCTTCAGGACTTCCTTTGGCGACAATCCAGGCCATTCCCCGCCCTGGCACCCGAAATGCCCTAGAGATTTTGAGGACCCCAACTCCACATTTCCCCTACCCGTACACAACAAACCAGCCGCCAAAGCCCTAATCCCTAAACCCTAAACCCTACTCCCTGAACCCTAAGCCCTAAGCCGTAAACCCTTACTCCCTTCCCCCTTGCCCAGGAGCCTCCAAGCTAACAGCCTCCTTCCACAGACGGACGGAGTTGGGGATGAACTCCAGGGCCTGAGATTTGGGGGGTATTGGGTTTAGGGTCGGGGGTTTAGGGATTAGGGTTGAGGGATTAGGGTTTATAGGGTTGAGGGATTGGGGCGCTTAGGAAAGGGAATATCTATGTATGTCTAGGTACACATAGGAATATATCCAGTGCCTGACATTTAGCGCCTAGGGCTTTGGAATGAGAGAGAGTTTTTAGATTCCGAGCTTGATGTTTCGGATTGAAGGCTTAGGATTGAGGATTTAAGGTTTACGGTTTAGGATTGAGGGCTTATGATTTAAGGATTAAAGGTTTAGGTTTTCGATTGAGGGTTTAGGATTTAGGATTTAAGGTTCAGGGTTTGGGATTGAAGGTTTAGGATTTAGGATTTAAGGTTCAGGGTTTAGGATTGAAGGCTTAGGATTTAGGATTTAGGTTTCAGGTCTCAAGACTCTTCGGCTAAGGTTTCCTGAAATGGATGCATATACTAAGTCCCAACAAATTCACCTACCAGTGTTCTGGTCCCAGATTTCTTGGAAACGTCATTGTGTCGCGCTCTCAATCTCCTTATTCCAATGTTTTACTTTATCGTCGCCTGCTTCTTGCCTGAATCCTAGCTTTAAACGATAGGCAACGCACTACGTGGTGGATTGGACCGGTATCTGGAGCTAGGAATACTTGCCGCAGAAGCTCGAATCGGGCATTGCGTGGGAAAGATGGTGGCTTTCCAGAACAGCAGGCACAATCTCCACACAATATGCTTGCTGATGCGATAGCCTGAAGACTCATCCCACTGATCCTTCTCAGACATCTGCGATCGCATTTTTGTTCGATGCCCGTTTTGTGAAGTAACCCTTCTTGGGACACAAGTCTATAGATCACCAATACAGATACCTATGCATGTCCAGCAGTTTATATGTGCATATGTATCCCCAAAAATCCCTCGCCTAAATCCTCAACCCTCAAGCCCAGATAAATGCAGATTGTATGGGGCCAAAATTAACAAGAACACCAGCGCAGAATTCGCTCAAAACCCCAGACCTAAGCTCTACACAGTTTTTGTATGACCCCTGAAACCCTAAACCCTAAACCCCTATACCCGACCCTTAAACCGCTTAACCCGAACCCTTAAAACCCCTTAACCCTGAACCCTTAAAAGGATCCCGACACCCTAAACCATTGAGCCCTTAAACCCTATGACCCTTAAACCGTTTAAGTTAAACCCCTAAACCCTGAAAGGGATCCCGAACA